GTGGGTTTGAACCGTCAGTCCTCTGGTTAGCAATCAAGTGCATTAGACACTATGCTACCAGAGCTCCTAGCTTATTATCTAGGGAGCACAAATAACAGGAAGTGAATGGCTAGAAGGAAGAAGTGCAGCAGTGGAAGGCTAAAGATGGAAAATCAGCCATAGAGGTTCAGATTGTAAGATGGGTAATGTTGTGCAGGTAGCTTTTAAAGATGAGAGGTCATCTTTCCCATAATTGATTCCCAGTGTTGTTGGAATACAAATGACTACTTTCTAGTCAGGAGTACTCAAAAATTTATTATTTCAGTAAGTTACAGAAAATTTAATACTTTTTCCTTTTGGATTATTTTAATTCACGAGGAATTCCAGCATTTGTATTGCTGTTAGTTGAGGGCTCCTATCTTGTCATATGTTAAAGAACTTCCCTGTTGCTTTCTTAGGGTTATTAAATCAGTGCAACGACAACAACAACAAAAAGTTGTTTCCAAATTCTGTTCTCCCTTTTGTATTAGATGCAGTTTATTTTTCCAATGAGGCACATAAGTTTTCTTTTAAAGAAATAAATTACAATGTAGACCATTTTATTCATTGTAACTCTGTGTTACATACACTAATGTTAGCAAACTGGTTAAGGCGGGTAAGCTAGTTAATGATGTTGTTGTTGTTATGTGCCGTTGAGTCAGACCCGACCCATAGCGACCCCTCCTTGGGTTTCCAGGGCAGTATCACTACGGAAGTAGATTGCCCCATCTTCCTTCCGAGGAGTGGCTGGTGGTTTGAACCGCCAGCCTTCTGGTAGACAGTCAAGTGCCTTAGCCACTACGCTACCAGAGCTCCCAGTTAATGATAGAACTAGGTTTTTTAAACAAATGGTTTATTAAAAGCAGTGAAAATTTTTGGACATTATATGCTGTTGATTTGGTTCTCTCTCATAGCAACCTTATTTATGTATAATAGAACAAAACACTGCCCAGTCCTCTGCCATCTTCACACTCATTGCTGTGCTTGAGCCTATTGTTGTAGCTGCTGTGTCAGTCCATCTTGTGGGCCTTACTCTTTTTCGCTGACCCTCTACCAAGCATAATATCCTCTGTGAACTTGTCCCTCCTGACAGTGTGATCAGAATATGAGAGCTGAAGTCTTGCTATCCTCACTTCTAAAGAGCTTTCTGGCTATATTTTATCCAAGACAGGTTGGTTGGTTCTGGCAGTCCATGGTCTATTCAGTATTCTTTGCCAATACCATAATTCCAGTGCATCAATTCTTCCTTGGTCTTTCTTACTCGTTCCAGCTTTTGTGTGCATATGAGGCGATTGAAAATATCATGGCTTGGGTCAGGCGAACTTTAGTCTGCAAAGTGACATCTTTGTCTTTTAATGCTTTAAAGAGGTTTTTTGCAGCAGATTTGCCCGATGCAATGTGTCATTTGATTTCATGAGTACTGCTTCCATGGACATTGATTATGGATCCAAGTGAGGTGAAATCCTTGACAACTTCAATCTTTTCTCCATTTATCCTGATGTTTACTGGTCCATTTGTGAGGATTTTTGTTTCTCTGTGTTGAGGTATAATCCATAATGAAGGCTGTAGACTTTGATCTTCATCAGTAAAATTGTAATTCAAAGAAAATAGAATATAGTAAGTCATAGTTACATGTATAGAGATCCTGTTTATTATAATTTGGATTTTCAGAGTTTGTACACAGAATACCTAATAATCAAGAAATTAAACTCTACTTCCCAGAAAATTACTATTTCCTTTTTAGTTAATTTCACATACTAATTAAGAAACATAGGTGGTTATTTTATATAGAGTCTAACACTATTGAATATAATATATACGCTTTATTGTATTACAGAAATATTGCTACATCAGTGTATATGAACATCTTTGTGCAAAGTCATCAACTGCTTAGGGTACTTACAGTTGCAAAAGTTATAGGCAATATGGGGTTGCAAAAACGGCAAGGAGGCCAGATGTTCTGACCTCCTAGAACCCCACAAGAGGAAGGCAGGATTACCAGCAGTAACCCAAGGCCTATTACTGCAAGGCCAGACATGCTGCCTCCCTCCAGCCCTTTCACCAAC